GCTAGTCCGGGTAGAGATTGGCGCCGACTGTCTTCCCGAGGGGTCTCCACTTAGGGCCCCTTCCCAGCCACTTTCAGACACATGCAGAAAGATCAGGTCCATGGTGAGCTTTGTGGCTTACCCCGCGATTCTAATCCTCGACGATGGGAAGAAGAACGGCTGAGCTTCACACATCAAACGCCTGTCTGCCGACATGGACACGCAATCTATCCCCGCAAGGAATGTGGCCAGTAGAGACGCAAGCATTGAATACATCAGCGACAACATCTTTCAATTGACACTCACCCCAGAGAACAAAGCGGAAGTATTTGAGCATGGCCTTTCCAAGCTCGACCAAGGTCAAGAGGAGGCCAGCCTCATCCTTCGGAACTTGTCCTCATGGTGTCCAGATGTCGCTGCTCAGTTTTCCCAACGCTCCACTACCACCATCTTGAAGACACCATTCCGTCTGGTCTTTCCTTCAGACGCTCGGGGGGCTTTCGACAAAGACCTGTATCCACGACAGTATTTCGCGATCTCTTATTGCTGGCATTCAGGCGACTATCCGAACCCGAAATATGAACCGCACGATCGTTGGCCTTTCAGCAAACCCTTTGTGGATGCCATTCTGGGTGAGAAAGAAAACCCTCGCATAGGACTTTGGATTGATCAGCTCTGTATTGACCAGGAAGATACTCTCGACAAGCAAATGTCTGTTGCTGCCATGGATGTGATTTATCGATCATGCATGCGTCTGCTGGTTCTGTTAGAAGACGTGAAACTGACTGAGGCGGAGATGTATCTCGTGGAGAACTTCGAAATCTCCAACATACAGTGGCATAAGTCATGGCTACCTGAGCCGGAGGTCAGACCACTCTATCTGTCTTTCTACAAAAAGATCAACGCAGCGAGATGGGTACGTGAAGCTTCCAAGAAGAAGGGGATCCTGGGGCACACGCTGATTTGCTCATTCTTACCTTGCAGTGGGATCGTGCCTGGTGCTTTCATGAATTCAACGTCAACGAACCATGGAGCGACAAAAGGCAGCGATACAGGAATCACAATGCGACGTTCTTCATGAATGGACCGGGTGATTCCATAGTAAAGATGAAGTGGGTAAATCTCCAAGTCATCATGTCTACAGCGATAGACTTGCCGTCTCACGAGAACGATATCACATTAAACACCTTCAAGGGCCGAGAAATATTCTCGGGCTTTGCGAACCAAGGCGGACCTCCTACAGCGACCATGAAATCGAGTATCATGGCCTCTCATAACAGCGTAGCTCGAAAAGGCTGTCAGAATCTTGGAGACCGCATCAGCATCATGATAAACATCAGTGGGCGTGCTCTCGCATACTACGGCGAAGCATTGAACAACAAAGACGAGGTCCTGTATCTCAGTGCACTGCTAGCCCTCACGGCAGGAGAGGCGTACCCACTCAGTATGACGGACCCCACATCGATCAGACTCATGGGCAATAAGACGTGGCTGTCGCGAAGCCTCGGTACTGGCGATACCATCATTCCAAAATTTCCCCTTGGAAGTGTGCAGGGCATCCGGCAGATCTCGACCGAAGTCATCAAAATCGACATGATTTTTGTTCAGATCCTCAGTACACCAACAGATCACAGCTTCGAGCTAGACGCTGTTGGCCAAGTGTTTCCTGGCACCATACCAACTACAGAGCCGGCAAAGTATGCCGCTGATGCAAGCAAATCGCATTTACCTGCCGCCCAGACGGACAGCGAATGCGACGAGCACCGACGGAGGTTCATCGCCACTTGTATCAGCAATGGTATTCAGTTTACCGCCAATCTATGGGAGCAGCTCAAACGTGATGTTGTACATCCCAACTACAACCAAGGCATTTTCAGAGATCTGCAGCCAAACACTGCCCTGTGTATACCAGCACAAAGGTTTTTGGACCAACTACAACGAGATGCAAGTCCAGAAACGTTGGAGGGTACTGCATTTGACGTGGATGAGGCCAACATCTTCTTGACCTGGGTAACCGATCCTCGTTCAATGTATTACATTGGCTCTCTTTCATTCCGCTTGCAATGCACCATGGATGGGCGTCAGGCTCTCATGACTATCACAAGCATTAAGGAAGACTGGAAAGATGCCAAGCTTGAGGAGCTGCAAGCTGCAATCCCTACCGATTTGCTTAACGCGAGTTGCATGACGTCGAGGATTTGGATTCTGCAACCATTGGAGATCGATGAAGGCGATGTGTTGAGATGGAGAATCGTGGCAAAAGCGCTGCTGCTCGGTGAGCCGAATTTGGTGGAGGAATTGAGACTGCACGGTAATCAACACGATGCGGTGGCAGCGTTGAAGGCGGACGCATGCGTGGGTGGTTAGGCATGTTATGGGCCTATGTACCGAGGTTGGTGCGTAGCGCAGGACACCGGACTTGCTGTCGCTAACTTTGGAAGTATTGCGAGCTCCATGAGACCATCAATATACTCCCAGTACCATCTTTACGGGCAGTTTACTTCGCTCCGGCGCACCATATGCTACATTTTTATCCAATGACTTGCTATTGTTATTGGTCATGCTAGCTGTATCATAGCGGACGGACGAGCACAGCTGCCTTTCTTGCTTATTCACGAGCCTGACAGGTAACCTACATTACTAATTCCCGCACGCCTCCCGGAAGCGCATCAATCGTCCATCCGAATTGTAACGATCACTATCACTCTATCCGAAAATGAAGTTCGCTTCCACGGAGTTCGCCTTCGTGTCGCCTGCTTTTGAGTGGCTTGTTCGCTTGCTGCAGCCTTGGGAATGACGCCCCTCCTGTGCGATTGCCCTGCAGGTTCATGCTCTCGGCATCGCCTTCAGCTCCTCTGCCACTTCGCTCCAGTCTCGCTATTGATATGGCGCCGAAGCCCCAATGTCGATGACATAAGTTTGTCGCCGCGCTCACTTATGCCTTGGGTATATATCAAGATATCGAGCTCTCTGTGAGGGCCACAATCACGGCCCGCAATCATCGCCATGGATCGCTCCACGAAACCAAGCTTCAACTTTGTGAACCTCACACACCCCGACGATCTCAAAAATGAAGAAACCCAACTGCGCATTCGACGTCTAGCTATGACTGAGGTTGGTAAAGCGAGAAGAAAACCCAGAACGAAGAGGGCGCGCAATGAAATCATCCTTGAGTTTCGGAATCCGTCTGAGAGTCGCATCGATATCGACCGGTTCGGTGGCGGTCAGCTTGATCCCTTCAACCCCTACCCCATTGAACTTGATGACTCTGATCGAGCCCTATTAGCGAACAGTAGGTGCATCCACTCGTTTTGGTCAGACTCTTTCCTGACTTGGCGTAGTCTTTACTACCGAAGACAGCAATCATCCTAGCCAGCTCCGTGGCTCCTGGTACCCCGTTGGACTCAGCGATGCGGCAGCTTTTCACAACATGCTTTCCAACTCGCAAAACTTCTTGTTCCAGAGGCGCAACGGATATTACCCTTCACAAGATGATGCCATAGCGTTGAAATATCACAACAAGGCGCTTCGCCACACCACCCAGATGATGAACGATCCGGCGAAGCGCACGAGTGATGAAGCTATAGGTGCTGTGGTTTCTTTCATGATCCACTTTGTAAGTCGCCCGTGTGACGACGATGGCGGCGAGGCTGACAATCTTCAGGCTCTATTGGGGAACTTTACCAGCAGTGATTGGCAGAAACATAGTAACGCACTAGTTAGAATAGTAGGACTCAGGGGCGGATTTCATACCATCGAGAAAGAGCACTTACGAGTTACGATCAGCTGGTCAGCATCTCCGGGTGAACCCAAGGTTTGATATTTGCTGACGCCTGAATAGGGCAGACCTCATAGGAAGCTTCTATCAAGACCACCCTCCTATTGTGCCAATGCCACGACAATGGATAGTGGACTCGAAATCTCCACCAAACTCCCCACGGACGTGTAACGGCATATCGTTAGTCTGGAAACAGGAGCTACCAATGCAGCTTGACTTTGTCATCATCTTTGATGATGTAGTCCAATTGATCTCTCTCGATAGAGCTTTCAACGAGGAACAGTTGATGCTTGCGATTACGAGCGGTAGCTGGCTGGAACCGACAATATACCGCCTCTTAGCTATACGTCCTCTAAACCACGGCAACGCCAGAGAGAACGTGGTCGAGGAGGTTTGTCGACTTGGAACTCTACTCTTCTTAGCACCAGTTTGGAGAAGTTTTGGTCAATCACCAGTATGGACGGCTGCTATATCGCGCAATCTCCTCCTTGTACTCACGAAGAACATGGTCGAATGGAACGATTTGAAGCCTTTACTCATCTGGGTGCTCTACGCCGCCGCAATCGAGACCAAGGATCTGGCAGAACGGAGCCAGTTCGTATTCATGCTTGGCATTCTGATGAGCGGCATGCAGCTCCAGGCGTGGAATGATATCATGTTGATTGTGAAAACCGTATTGTGGGTGGAAAAGGTTTTCGCAGGTACTGACGAGTTGATTCGCGACGAGGTTATGCAGATCGTCAACCACAATCCTATGAATATGTTCCCGGTTGAAACTACGCCGCCGCCAAGTTTCTTGGACGACTTTGCGGCGGAAACAGGATAGAGCTAGACTAGATCTGGAATGAAGACACCCTTGTGGCTGCAGCTACCAATAGCAAGACTTAGCATTGCTGCTTGACCTCGCTCTCTTACAGTCGTTGTATGTACAGTAAATGCCTACCACAACTGTAGGGAGCATACATAAAGCTGCCGTGAACGATCAATACTTACAGCTGCCCTCTACCTAAGTATAGATTTGCATCTAGGGTGCTCTTGTGATTTGCATACGGCTATCGTGGCAGATTGGTCACCGGAGGCCCACGGAAGAAATTGCAGCTGACCAGAGGCACACGCGCTATCATGCCATAGCAGTCGAAAGTTTTGTTCTTTAGCCAGGGAGTGCCTAAGTAAAATAATATGTATGTGCTGCATGACTTAAAGAATTACATCGTGCTGATAACTATATGTACTCTTGCACAGTCTATGATCTAGGTGCCCTTCCGTTGTAGTCCATTCCCGGCTCTACTGTATAATTTGCGAAGCAGTCATAATTGAAGTCGATTTCTGCACTGCGTTTTTGGAGGAGCTCGACAACGTGGTCGAAAGAGCAGAGACCGTTTGCATCAGCGGGACATCCTGGATGAGACTCATTGATCGGGACAACGGCGTCATTACTGATTGACCAGGTTAGCTGTGCATCGAGTTTCGAAAGAAAAGAGAATACGTACACAATGAATCTGATCTGCTTTGTTGGTTGCATAGCAGGGCAAGAAAGAACCTGAGTGGTGAAGTGGGTGGCAAACGGCACGAGCTTGCTAGCTACGAAGCTGTTTTGCCCTTCATTACCAAGAGGACTCAGCGGTGGGCCTTTGAACAAAGCCGTCAAGTTGAACGCAGTGAGTGTATCAAGGACGACAACTTCGTGCGTAGCATCGGCATAGATAGACTGGTCGAGCGGGAAGTATGTCGACGAGTTGTCGAAAGTCTCGTTCAGCGCGGAGTTAGCGCCGGGATACTGATGGGTGAAGCGTGCGATGAATTCGTCTAGGAAGCCTTTGCCTTGAGCAGCAGACACAGGGGATCCTGGGCCGTTGTTGTAGTAGAAGGACAGATCGAAGTAGTACTCATAATTCAGGAAGTCTTGTTCGTTGAAGAGATTGCAGAAGGCAGAGTAGCCGAGAGCGTGTGTCTCATACGAGCAAAGTTGGAGCATAGCGACGGCGTCGGTGGAAGTAAAGTTGATACCGCTAGCCTGCGACTGCAGACGAACGAGAGTGGCGTTGAACGCGTTGTTCGCAAACTGAGCTGCTACACGGCTACCGATACTGCCTCGGGTCGCAATGTTCGAGTTGTTGCAGATTTCGTATGGTGCGCCGGAGTTGTTCACGCCTAGAGTCTCAACAAGCAACTCAATGTTGACCTCGTCCATGTACTCGGGTACCCCAAAGAAACCGGCAGCGAAGTTTTCCGCAGTCTTCACCATCCGGTCTTGGGACTGTGTTCGGAAGACCGGAATGGTGCCCGCTTCAGTAAAGTTGTTCAAAAGATGGCCATACAATTGGCGGTACTCAATACCCAATAGGAAGTTCATGCTGCGACCCGACGGTGTTAGGAGCTCGGCGCCCAACTTGTATGTCCAATCGCTCAGGAAAGAAAGCTCTCCAGAGAATGCAAGACCAGTTTTCGTAGCGTTCGCAATTTTCTGAGCAAAGGTAGCGGGCGCAGCGCCACTGGTTGGGTATCTAGCGCCGTGACGGTAGAGCAGATGCATCTGGGTGATGTCGCAGCCATCCGGGATCAGAGGGCTGGCATCAGGAAGACCGTAGTCTGCGCTGCGAACCGAATACCATGGGCTCAAGTTACCCCAGTATTTTGTGATGTCAAAGTTTGGAGACTGCGAGCCACTGCCATGGGGCTGTGGCTTGATCAGAGGGTATGAAGATGCATCGCCATCGTTGTAAGGATACGACGGTGCTGTTTGGATGGCATTCGGCTCAGCGCCTGTGGGGGTCGCTGATGATTGTTGCGTTAGTTTAAAGACCAGAGCTCAAGGAAATATTGGTGACTTACGGCCAGGGAAGCCGACGACAGATTCTGGCGGGAAGAGTTCGGAGTTGACCTCGGCTATACAATCAACCCATCAGCATTCCGCTCTCTGCGCAGCTTCAATCAGGCTTACTGCCAGCGGGAGGATACACATCTGCACTGCTTGCGCCTGCGTTTCCAGCTGCCGAAATTGTCGTGGTTGGTACAGCTCCAACCCTTGCAAGGAGGACAAGCAGTGCGCCTTTACGGGCGGTGTTGGTCGTGATGCGCATCTTAACAATCGCAGAAGCCTAGGTCTCTCAAAAGGTATGTATACCAAGGAGAACAAGCTCCGACAAGCTTCGATGCCCAGCAATGTGGGTGTCCCAGAGACCCATCTTATAGTCCCCAAGCCCTGCAACGGTGGAGAAAGGCGTTAGAGTTGGGCATTTCGCTACCGAAGGGATACACGCGGCTCGTAGTAAGCGTCGCGCAACCAATGGGATGCGGAATTATGAACACATGCGTTGACCAATACTTCGGTAGCAGGGATGCCATCACTTCAATGACAGCACTGACGTTTGCGGGATGCAGATATCACGGTACCCAGGTACTCATGCGGTAAAGCATGCATTGGTGCGGGGGACCTTTGCAGCTGCTAAGCCCTGGTCCACGATGACGGCGTTGGACTATGCTGCTTTGGGTGCCGCACAACGGCGTTCTTGTCCACCTTTGAGCATATCGACAGGAGCACGTGGCTGGCGGGTTTATGGTGACGAAGGACTCTTTGTAGCAAGATACGCGTTGAGGAAAAGTGTTCAGGCTACATTGATGCGGAAATAACCCGGCCAGAGTGAGTTAATCGGTTTCGTCATCACATACGAGTCCAGTTCGCTTCCTCTCGATGTTGACGACAAAGGCTGATATTGTCATTACACGTCCACAGACTATTTATACATGAAATCGAGAAGACCCCCGTTCTCGCCAGACACAGCAGAACTCAAAACGCCAGTGCCAATGCCGATGTATCGATGAGACGCAACAAATTAAACACCGCCCAGAACGACTGATATGAAGACCCCGGTACCCACCCATAACTACGATCTCATCAGTCATTAATATGTGATCCATCGACGCCGAACACAAAGAGAGGAAGGTAGCATCCAAGCCGCCATATAGCGCGTGAGCAACGCGACAACGCCTTACAAGCAAGAAAGGAACAAGCGCAACAAGCTCAAAAACTCAAACTCATGTCTGTTCAACAAGACGGAGAAAAGAAGAAAGCACTAAGCGATAGGCCATCGAGTACGCAATCCTTGTGTCCATTGCCCGTAGAGGATGTCGGCCAGTATCCCCTGCTGCTCCATACCAGGCTCGACGTAACCAGGCAGTTTCTTCTCGTCAAAGTAACCGTGGCCATCAGCCCCAGAGCCCTTCTCGCCGACCACGAAAGCGCTCTGGCGGCGTTTGTGGGACTTGAGGTGAGGGTTGTTCTTGGCCATTACGAGCTTTGGTCCCTTCAGCGGAGAGCCCGAGTTGGCGATCGGTGTCCCATTTCGTGTCGGTGTCGATATCGGAGTGTGGTCATACTCCTCTGAAGACTTGCTGACGGTCGATGTAGCTGCACTCGTAGTGCTCGACCGAACACGTGTTGTGCCTGTGCCATGCACGGTCGTACCACCCAGGCTAGTGTCGCTGGTTTTGGTGTTGTGCTTCAATGGCGATTGCGCGGGCGAGACTTCTATGCCGAGAGCGTACGCAAGCTTTGTGTCGTTTTTGAGGCGGTCCACCATAGCCTTCAATAACATGAATTCGCCATGTGGGTCGATTTCGTCAAGATGCTGCCAGGCCTGCGCAACTCGTCCGATAGCGTCGCGTTGATGGGGCGATGCTGTGTCAGCATGTGCCTCTTGGAATACTGAGTCCAGGACCTTGCTGTACGCTCGGCGACCGTATAACGCGTCTTTGGTGATTGGCATGTGTCCATCGGGAGCAGGTGGCTCGTTCTCGTTGTTCATGTCCAGTGGATGGTTAGACGTGGGAGGTGATGGGCGGAAGGTGCGCGCTTCGGGGTTCGGCTGGAAAGACTGGTTGTTCTGAGCAGGCGGGTTGCTAGGGGGGTTTGAGCGAAGTGCTGCGCGACGTTCGCCCGACGAGACGCGCTTGAAATGTCGTACGGTCGATGGCGAGTTTCCAAATGTCAGATCGACACCCAACGGCGACTTGTTGAGATTGCTGACGCGACGAGCGGTGGGTGTATCGCCAGACGGAACGCGGAAAGCCGTGGCTTGGGAAGTTCTCCGAGAGGATGGACGTCGTCGTGCTGGGAGTGGTGAATCGGTTATGTCGCCCAAGGGTGCTGCATTGAGGTCCATCCGTTGCATCATGGATTCGACTTCATCGTTGCCTGAGGAGGGTATACGGGCCAGTTTGCGACGCTGTTTCAACGTCTGGCGTGCTTGAACGGTCCCTCGCTTGACGGTATCAAAGTCCCAATCGTCTTCCTCGGCTCTGGGAGAGAGATCGACCCTGATGAACTTGTTAGCATACTGTGTGAGAAAGTCCGGCGAGTTACTGACATGGTCTCTTCATAGTACTTGGGGTGCGATGCCGCTTGTTGTTCCCTTTGGGCGTCGTACATTTGCTTGCGCTCGACGAGCTCGCGCAATGCCTCGACCTTGCCCGCGCGTTGGACGAAGCGGTGTTTGAGGAGTTCCTTCGCGGTCGCACGTCGATCCGGATCCTTGATTAGACATTGTGCGATGAAGTCTTTAAAGTCTTTGCTCCATTCGTCGCCCTCCAGCCTTGGTGCAGGGTTCTTCGGAATCGTGAAGAGCACCTTCATGGGATGTGACCCAGCGTGTGGCGGTGCGCCCTCTGCCAACTCCATAGCGGTGATTCCGAGGGACCAGATGTCGGCTCTGAAATCATAGCCAGCCTCCTGGATGACCTCGGGTGCCATCCAGAAGGGTGTACCGACAAATGTCATGCGTTGCGATTTGATATTTGTGAGTTGTGCGGCGACACCGAAGTCGGCGAGTTTGACCTTGCCTTGGTCGGTGAGGAGTACGTTGGCGGCCTTGATGTCGCGATGGATCTTGCCGGTCGAGTGTAGGTAGTCTAGCCCGAGCAGGAGCTCTCGGCATGTGATGGCGATGTGTGCTTCGCTGAAAGTGCCTGGTGCCAACTATGACGGTTAGTCTAGCTATGTGATGTCGGTGGTGTGACTGCGTACCAAGTCGGCGGCCGAGCCTCCCCCCAGATACTCCATGACTATCCATAACTTGACGCCCTTGACGAAGCTGGTCTTGTATTCGGTGATGTATGGGCTGTGGCAGGTGCTCAGCAGCGAGATCTCGGCTTGGATGTCGGCGAGCTCTTCGCTGCTGTCTTCGAGGTCGATGTGCTTGATGGCGACAGTCTCGCCCGTTGTGCGGTCAATGGCTTTGAACACCTTTCCGAAGCTGCCGCCTGCAATGGTCAGTAATGGCAAATCGACCAGGCTATGTCAAAACGTACTGCCCAGCTCCTCCATGACTTGATAGTTTTCGGCCATGGCGGGCGATTACAACGTCGCTAGGCGAAGCGCAATGGCTGAGAGATATGGGATGTGGTCGGGGTCGGGCCAGGATAGATGCAGTGGTGCTTCGGCGGAAGAGTGTTGGGATAGGAATAAGACTCGGCTGTGGTACTGGGCTGCTCAATTGCGCCGCCGTTGTGGTGTATATCAGAGTATCGCGCAGGGTCCAGCCCTATCATCGCCGAGGCAACCAGCCTGATCGTCAAACAAACGCACATCCCCGCCGCGACTTTTTGGCGGAGATTGGCATGACGTCGGTAGGTATCAGTGCTGTAGAAAAACAACACAGGTCGGGCATGTCCAGGACAGCGCACCAGACGTCGGAGCAGTGTCGTAGAGCCTTTGGCATCCAAGACCAGTTTGTCGACGCCAAATCCAGAGCAGCCCATTCCTCTCCTCTCCAATGTTGCCCTGCATGAGCTCCCCACTGCGGCCGTCATGCAGCAGCGGCTACCAAAACCGTCAGCCGTCTTGCCAATAGACGTGTGTGGTGGTGCATCGTCTGCGCCTCATCCCGCCGAGGTTTACTTTTCCGGTTGCTGAGGGAAACGTGGGCTAACGACATGGTGCTGCGAGGCACTCCAGGCATGTCAAACCTACCATGCCACTCACCGCCAGCTAGGCTGGATTACGAACAGTCCTCGTAGCCTGAAACAGGCCGCCTGTACAGCGCACTCCTGGCTGTTGCTGCAAATTAGCACGAGGGCGACGATGGGCCTCCATGGCTGTCTAACCGCCAGGGCAGGCGCACCATGTTATCCGTCGCGGTTCTCCTCAGCAACCGCAAAATTAGAGTCTAGGACAAGATGACCACTACCCGTCGTTGACCGGACACTCGACGTGCTACCCAGCTAGCTCAAACTTGACGGCTACATGGGTCGTGTTCTGAGGTGTCAAATTACGTGGCCCGACCCCTCATCTCCGCAACATGGCAGTGTCGTCTCGAGAATGTGGGACCGAGCATGTGTTCGACAGCAGACTGCGCGTGTGGTGACCTGTACGTCTGAGTATACTATGGAGCAATGAGCGAGCGGCAGTAGATACAAGACAGAGCAGACGTCGCCCTCAACAGACGGACATTGGTTCACCGTCTCCACACAGGGCCTCCGTCACGAGACTAGCCGCGCAAGCAGTCCCTTGGACATGCAGCCAGGAGATGGGTTCCTGGATTGGGTTGTTGATGGCCTGAGCACGGCGCGCGTGAGCGACGGCTGCACAAAGACTGCGGCTTCGGCTGTAGGAATCTCTAGATACTCGTTGCCGCTCTGAACTCCGTGGCATGCGCTCTTCAATGTCTTTGGTATGAGTTCTTGCGCCGCTGGCTCAACGCTCTTCAAGTCTTGGTTCTCGTGGTTTAGAGGGTCGCTCCTTCTCCGATTGGTCGGCCTCCCTACAGCGCTTCTAGCCCTTTATCTCGAAGTCTACGGCAGCTCCCCAGCCGCCGCCTCGCTTATTCTTCACCGACTCGCTCGCCGCGCTCGTCTCTCAACCATTCTCTGTACGCTCAAGGAGGGACAGTACGTCAGCAATACCATCTTCTTCGTCGGAGGAGCAGACTCCATGGACAGAGCACAGACACCGACAACCCTGCACGACAAAGGGGCCGAGTCGTCATCCCAGTCGTCAATAATATCCTCCAACGCCCCCGACTCCAACGCCTCTTCTCAGTCTTCACCACCCAAGACCATGCCGTCGCATTCTCGGTCCAAGACG